TTGTCGCATGTCCGATGTCCGATGTCCAATGTCCAATGTGCATTCGCTGACGCCCGAAGTCCGATGCCTGATGGCTGATGCCTGATGCCTGGCAGCGCGGCATGTTTGTCACTCCATGGCGACAGCTACGGGAGGCGACCCTGTTCCTAAATTGGCCGGGGCACCCTCGGCAGACGTCAATGGTGCCGTTCGATTTGATCGATTTGTGTTGATTGCCTGTCAGTTGTTGGCTGGCCAATACAATAGCTTCTGGGCAGGAGCACACAGAGTGGAGAAGTCGGAGCAGCAGCACCACCACCACCAGCATCTTGTTAGGTGTCAGACGATGCAGTCAAGTGTTAAATAAATGTACGTACATACGTACGTATGTAGATGCAGAGAATTTACGTTAACTAAAAGTGCATAAAATGTGCAGAAAACCTCAACTCAAAGTCCTGCCTGTCAGTCATTCATTCACTCACTCACTCACTCACTCATTGGTTGCCCTCTGAAATGATAGCAACTATTGATGTGGGCTCCTTTTCAAGTCGCCAAGTCTCAAAGTCTCTGTTCCTTGGGTATCTTTTGTTCGACGTATGCATATGTAATGGAGCAGAGGAGCTCTTCCTGATGCTTCTCCTCCTTCAACTGATGCTGCTGCTGCTGCTGCTGCTGCTGACTCTTTGATTGGCTTTCTTGAAATCCACACTTGAAGTGTTGGAAATTTAATGTTGCGAGTGTGTCTTGTAGCCGAGGGTTGAGTCGCATTCGCAGTGCTGATTTAAACGCCTCTCGTTTCTTCGTTCCATCCGTATGCATTTATGCGCCAAATGATTTTTCATGGGAAATCGCTTAAGCTAAAAATTCAAAGAGATGCTGCGATATTTTTCTGTGCGGGCACTTTTCGCTGTATTGTTTGAGTAGCTTCTTTACAGGCTTTATAAAGAATACACATTGTGTGGGTAAATGTTTTGTCGAGCCGTGCCTCGTAAAACGATATGACTTGATAGCTAAAGGTTAAGCAACATCATTGTACTTCTGGCTAATGCCCGCATAAAGATTAGCTCACTGAATATCTCATTTTCTGCTACCTTTCATATGCAGATGATAACATAAATGATTTATAACACGGCATTGATTAATTCAAGGTTTTATCTATGTTGCCTTAATATTTCTTTTATAATTTATCATACTAAGTATATTTTTTCATAATGGATTTCTTATAATTTAATCAATATGGAAAATTTTAAAATCATTTTCTGCGCCTTCACAAGACTTAAGCCTTATTCAATTGAAATTGTCTTCAAAAAAATTGAAAAGCATTTGCTTAATGCTCAGCCATGTCCGTTGGCCAGTACCTACCCTAGTTGCCCCCCTCTTAACCGCCACGACAGAACCCACTCAATTTTTTAATGCAATTTCATTGGATTTTGCTTGCTTCGATTTATTGTGTACTTCGGTTGCCTCACTTGTGTCTCGTTATCATTCTAACGTAATCTTAATCACTTTGCGCAATGTTCATTCATCCACATCATCAATTTCCTTTGCGACGACTGCATTAGTGCAGCGCCCTCTGTTGCCGAATAGCAAAAGAAAACCAGCTGCTGCATTCGATGGATGCCTGTCCCGGACTTGGACTTGGACTTGGACTCTTGCACTTGGACTTCGCTTACGACTTGGAGTTGCTCTTGAAGCTCCACTGTCTGTTTCTGTGTGTTTCTGTTTCTACATTTGCTTTTACGCTGCTTCAATGCATTTCGCCGCTTTATCAGATTTGAAGTTATTTTCAAGCTGATAGATTTGCTTTGCCCTGGTTGGGTTTGTTTCGGTTCCTCCGTCAACCCACAAATTGCCAACTCCCATTTTAATCTATTTTCTACGCGCGTGCTTCCTCTTGTTAGCAGTAGGTACTCCCAGTCCCTAACACATAAAAAAAAAAAAAAACATCATTTGCTACTTTAATAGTTGCCAATTGTTGTTGTTGTTGTTGTTCTTGCTGTTATTGCTGTAGCTGTTATCGTGCAATCTGCCCCGACCCGACTCGACCCTTTTGGCCAGTTAGTTAGCCAGTTGCAGTCGTGGCCCTGCTCGCTCCCCTGGTTGCCATATTAAAAATGTATATAAAGCTCTTAAGCGAACCTGTCCAAAAAAAGTGGAGGCGAAGCAGAGGAAGTCGCCTCCCCGCCCGATGGTCGCCTCAGCTCTTTTATAGATTTCAATAATAGATTTTTCGAGTTGGTTTCCTGCGTGGCTGCAATTTTCGTCTGCAGCCGGGTACAAAATTGTTTTCTCCAACTTGGCCATGAACCCGCTGACGGCTTTTGCCTGGCTGGCCAAACAGTCAGTTGCAGTTGGTCAACGGCTTCTGTACGGGCTGTACGGACCACGGTCGGTCTATGCCTGGCTCTTCTAATGTGTTTTCTTTGTTTTGCTGGTCGCTGCACTTGGCCGCAGCTGTGCGTTGAACCTTTTGGCCGCGTATCAAACAGCAGCAGCGATGCAATTGTTTTTGTAACTCGTTGTTGCTGCCACAATTCGTTGCTGTCCACTTGAAGTGCCACATTTGGAATGGCCAATGGGTAATGTACAGACCCATTTGGGCCATAGAGCGCTGCCTCGATAAATGTCTCTGCAATGCGAATTTCATTAAGAGACTTTCCAACTTTTAAATTCCTGACTTAGGATTCCGGTGGCTCATAAATTTCGTCAATTATTTTGCTTCAAAATCCACTTAAAAATGTAGCATAAATAAAATTAATCACCTGGAAGATTGCTAAAAACTTGCAAAATAAAAGTTCATTAAAAAACCAACTACTAGCTCGAGATAGTTTAACAAGAACGTGTTGGTCCGCTAGCCACCCCATTTAGTTCTGCCCTCCAAAGGTAAGGGGCCAAGATGAAGATTAGTGCAAATACAAACTAAATGCGTGCTGAAAATTGTGCCAGATAATAAGCAAGGTGCGCACATACAGACCCAGCAGGGCTCTGCAGAGGAAGAAGAAGATGTCGTCAGCCAGTGATTCAAGCTGAGAGAAGTCAGCGGAAATGTGCGAATTTTGCTCGAGGGACAATGAAAATAAGTATAGATGATGTAGGGACAAAGAAAGCGAGAGAGCGAAAGAGAGAAACCTATCAACGTGTAATGAGAAAAACTCAACGAGCTGGATGCTTATGATTATCAGTCCGGCAAGTGAATAGTCCCAGTCATTATCCATGAGACACTATCAACAACACCCAACCAAGCGCCACGTGCTGGTCAACGCCAGCAGGCTGCCTGCTGCCCTCGCTAAATGTCTATTTCAGCTGTAAAACTTAAAAGCATCCCATAAACCTGGCCCTGATACTGGGTTGGGTTGGACTTGAATGCGATTTAGTTTGCGCCAATGAAACCATTTAAACCGTTTGTTAGCTTTGTAACTTGGACTTGTGGGTGATTCTATTATGGCTTACTTACATGTATTTTCCGGCATCCATTGGCCACGTACGTGCATATGTGCTGCAAGTTCAAGTAGTTTTAAAGCTAAACTAAGGGTCTTAGGGCTTGAATATATATATTAAAAGTCATACTTCCAATTAGAGTAGTTTACTAACGTAGCAAATTCACATTACTGAGATTTAATGTGAAGATTTAACTTGAGGAACAATTATATTTATAATTAAAATTAATATATTTCTTTATACGACCAGTAGTTACTAGACTCTTTCTTTAGAATTCGGCTTAGCTTAGCTTAAGGTTCGGTTCTTATTAAAGATACAACATTGAGCTCGAACCTGTTGTTCTACGATTCTCGATACTCTCCCTTTTCGTCAGGGATCTCGCAAATTAAAGTTGTATGCTAACCCGTAGATTGAGCCTAGGTCTGGGCATCATTTACGGTTATAGGCAGCATCTTGTGCTGCTTCTCACTTCCCTTGAATATTAAAAACCATTTACACGCATTTACTTTCATTTTTGGCATGCCAAATCGAAAAGTGACTGAAACATCTTTGCCCTCGTAATTATGCATCAAATTACATACGTAATTACAAAATGTGCCACAATATGTTGGCGCTAATGACAATGCCACAGTGCTTGAAAGTGTTGTGCAACCTTAAATGTGTTGCTCGCAGCTCTTATGGCTCATTTTCCGGCGACCTCCCGCAACTGTTTGGCAGCCGGCCGAAAAAGGGCCACAGAAAATCAATTAGCCACAGCTCCCTCCAGCTACATAGATATGTATAGCGCCTTAAGCTGCGCCCTCAATGCCAGATCATTAATATTGGTCCGCAATGCCACGGGAACAGTGACAGCCGCAGTCACAGTCGCTGGCGCAGCCGCAGTCCGAATACTCAAATGCTCAAAGCCCCAAATGGAGCCCAAGTAGGCGCGTCCATATTCGATGTGTCTGATGTCTAATGTCTGATGTGTGAGTGCATGTGAGGCACATTACGGACACATGTATTCTATCTGTACTTATATACATGCACATGCAGACATATGTCAAAGTTCAGGCCCATTGCTGTGCTTTAAACAGGCAACATTAGTGGGATAATTAACACGCCCACAATGTGTTTGGGTTTAGGCTCGGTCGGACAGCTGGAGCGTGCGACTGTTTTTTGGCCAACTTTGTCATGCAAATGAGTTTAACATGGGCCAGCAAATTTATGTGCCGCATGCGTCTAACTTGGCTCGCAGCTGGTGGTCCATTGTAGCCAGGCTATGTGTCTCCCTCGCCCTCTCTAACTATCTCTTTCCCTGACTCTCCCGCGCTCTCGATGGTCTCCGTTTGTTTAGTTGTTCAACAATTTCATGCTGCGCTGAATCTACGAAATGCAACCAACACATCACTCATACGCCTCGTGGGCGCCGCAAATTGGACACTTTGAGGCCTGCTCATTAAAACCATAAACTATGTATTAAAATTATGAAAATTAGCTTTGGCTCACACAAAACCATAAAAATTAATTGCCTTGGACGCACTCATACACACGCATATACACACATATTACATATTTAATTGGATTTCTTGTTATCTTTTCAGGTATGTGCAGCCCGTTCGCCGTGTTTGTTTATCGACAGGTGCCGCATAAATCGCACGATTTGTCCAACTGATATAGAAAAGTGAGTTTGAATAGTTTTCAAGTGATTTGCATAAATTATGATTACATTTTGAAATGAAATCTACATAAATTTCATATGGAATTGAACCTATTCAAGTTGTGGGCGTTGTCGGGTGTGACATGTTTTGATAGAAACAGTCAATTCGTTTGTGCCGTCATAAATTAGCTGCCGAGAAGGTAGTGTGGGGTGTGGGAATGAAACACAAAGTGATTTAAGTTATATTTGTTAGGCCTGTTATGCAAATGGGGCGCTACAAATTAGATGTTTGTAATTTGTGCCTTTACAACTTTTTCTTCTTGCGTCAACGATTCCCCATCGCACTCGACTAAGCATAATATGGTGCACTTTTCATATGCAAACAGTACAGTCTCTTGCATTTCCCGTAGCACTTACTCAAATTTCTCCGCTGAATCCCATATGCCAAGATGAAGCCCACATTTCGATCCCCACACGCAGCTATCAGATAGCTCCGGTAAACAATTCGAAAAGCCATAGACAATCTCAGACGCGCACTTCAAGTCGACGTAATGATGCACAGATTAATGTTGCCACAACAACAGCTCGAGGCGAATGGTGTTGCCACAAAACAAGTGAGTAGAGACTTCTAAACTGTTGCAACAGACAGGCCGTCGAGACGGTGGGCGTGTGGCACGCGGATGCTGTGGGGTACCAAATCAGCCGCAAACGCAACGCCTTTTGTGCCAAGAAACTTTAACTATTTATTACAAACGCAAATCACTTGAGGCGCAGAGACCAAACTCAAGGATTGACGGCTGAGTAAACGACTGAACGTCTGAACGCCTGAGTGCCTGATGAGTCTGATCTGGGCTTTGGTATCAATGTTAACCCAGTTACAAACGGATATTCAAATGCATTAGCACAAAATGTCAAATATGACAGGCAGACATTGAAATGGTTTCTGGTTCGGGCGCTTTGGGGTGCCGGCAAAAGAAGCTGTCGTATGCAGCCTGGAACCAGCTCAGTTTATCCAACTGTCAGACGAGAAGCTGCCTCAGTTACAAAAAGTCAAATTAGCGCATCAAGCTCGAGACTAGTACAAGACCCGGCACAGACCAGAGCAGCAAAAATATTGAAAAAAAAAAAACCCATTTTGAAAAGGGTCTAATGGCTGTCGGAAAGTTTGCGGCTGTTAATGATGCTGCAGCGTCTGGAATTTCTAAATGTTAATCGATTTATGATGTTTCCCAAATTAAATGTGTCTGCCAGCGCGATAAGGCGCAACAGTAGCCACCTAAAGCACCAATACCAAATGCCAGAGAGCCACAAAATCTCAAACTCGTCACTGAGAAAACATTGAAAAACCTTTAAAATGCCACACAAGTTGAGCGAGTCTTTACGCAGAGCGCTGATAAGGCAAAAGTCAAATCTTGAGGGCCCATTTGAACTGTTCAAACTTCAAAACTATTTGCTCCGCTGTCTGCCTGCTGCCAGTCTGCAGCTTTGCTGGTTCATTTTTTAGCCCCTCCCCCCGTTTGGGGAGAGCAAAAAATAGCGTAAAATAACAATAAACAAGAAATAATCATGTTCATGGGGAGTTGAGCGCAGGTTCCCTTCAGCCCTTCCCACACAAAAGGCTGTAAGCCAATCATGTGTAAGATTGTTGCCTGTTGTCTGTAATAGCTGTTGTTGTTATTGTTGTTGCTGTTGTTGTCGCGTTGCCAACTATTTCAATGCATCTTCCAGGACTTTGAAGTTGACTGCGACGCCTTATTGGCAGTCGTTAGCTACTGTTAAATGTCAGTGTCAGCGAAAGTGGTATTGAAAAAAACGAACTAACAGTACGTCTTTATACTGTGACCGTATGTCTGTATCTGTGTGTGGGCATGGGCAAAAAAGAAAAGGGAAAATAACAGTTAAGGCAACAACCGGAAATGGAAAGGTTGCACATTGTTGTGGTTGTTAGGAGCTAGAACGAGTTCTCTTGGTTGCCGTTCACAGAGCAGCTGTCAAATAAAAATGAAACTTAAACTATTTAACTTGAAGTTTTCGTGAGGGCTTACCTAAAAAAGTATAAATTCACAAAATAGTCTTAGCAAATCCCTGCACATTCATTATTTATTTCATTTAATTTTTGGTGACCCTCCACAGTTGCAGGTGAAACTTTCCGTCTTAATGTTCAGTTCTAGCTCCTAGCTCCTTCTGCTTTGCTGCGCACTCAATCAATCAATCAATCTGTCAGTTTATGCAGTTTTATATAGATAGATTGAAAGTCTATCAGTTGATTAACTTAAGTATTCTGTTCACATTTCGTCCATAGAGTTTAAAGTAAAATTCCACATAATTTGGGTGTTTACCTCAACAGCCGGAGTATGTATTTCGTTTTCATATTTTATTGCTTGTGTTCAACTTGGCGCTCCTTCCATTTTGGATTGTTCGCTCTGGTTGACAGAAAAGTTTTTGCTTCGGAAGCACGTTGCTCTCTGAGTCGCCTCTTGAACCAAATCTCGCTGTGCCCCAGCGCAATCCGTGAAAAGCTGCGCCAGATACACAAAAAGTAACTAAGGCAGTCGGAAAAGCAGCCGCATTAGTTGTGATTATCACCCGGCGACTCCGCATAAGTTGTGGCATATACTCCCAACATACAAATATGTTTCTCAAGTACATATTTCTATATGTACGTATGTGGAGCACTGATTCTGTTGTGTGATGCGAATCGTATGTGTGGGTGTTGATTTGTGAGCTGTTGTCGTCTGCGTCTGCGTCTCAGTCTGTGAATTGAAGGCAATTGAATGTTAAGTAACATGTGAATGACTTTTGCGGTCTGGCGAGTTGTAGCCCGGAGGCACAAAGAAATCAGCCCACAGAATGTGTCATAAGTAGAACTTTAAGCCAGGCGTCTGAAATTGGATTAAATTCGAGTGGCATTGAAGTGTAATCAGTGTAAGCCAAATGAGTTTCATTATCCAGCAAAAGAAAATCAGGCCAGGCACAGCTTCAATGGAAATCAGAATTTATCTCTGGGCATGTCACGAACTGAGCCACATATGAAATCGATCACAATTGCTGCTGCCAAAATGTGAAATTCACATGTAAAAATGTAAGCTTTAACAAATTTCAGTAGCTGACCAGCTGACAGCTGATAGTTTACACTGCTCTACAAAATTCGCTATCAATGACAAACTGGCGCACACGCAAAGCTGCCTCCGGGGCCATCATTTGACAGCAAATGCTATGGCCATTACGTGTTGCCATCTATTGCCATTCCCAATCTCATTCCCAGGGCCAACACTTGCAGCTCTTGTAAGCCATCATAAAACGCAACCAAAAGTGCGGCTAAACTTTGCGATTGAATTTGCATAAATTGTGCCATGGATCGCATCAGTTTCTGTTTCAGTCCGGCTCGGTACGGTTCGGGTTTCGCCAGCTCCTCGCTAGCTGCTCTTATGCAAATGGATTCAGTTTTATTTTTTTTTCTTTGTGACTCCCTTCTTGCTACCAGCTCCCTGCTCGTGTGTGTGTGTGTGTGTGCACATTTGAAAATGCATAAGATTTGGCCAAAGATTGCTGTCCATTAATTCAAGTTGGATTTACTTTTAGCATATTTTACATGCATGCGAATTGTGGCTGTGGCTGCAACTGCAAATGCAACTGCAACTACACCGAGTCCGCATTCGATTCGCAGTTCGATTGGTACGCAAATTTTTGTTGCAATAAATTTGCATTTACCACAAAATGTTTTGAACTATGGGCTAACCCATTCGGTTTACCTGCGTTCGATTTATTTGCGGCCGCTTTTATTCAAATCGTTTCGCATGCCCAGTCATTGCATTCTCCGACATGGCAGGGGGGTTTGGGTTGGGGAAGTTAGTTGATTTACTTTTGATTGGTTTGCATATTGCATGATGACCTTTGCTCATCATTCAGCTGCTAATTTGGTGACCGATCGATAAAAGAGGGGGAGGACTGGGTGTCCGAGGGAGAGAGAGAGAGAGATGCTCAATGAATTGTTAGATGGCGAAAACTATTTGAATTGTCTGAATAGATTATCAGGTTAGTGGAAAACTTAAAAGCAATTACTCAGTGCTATTACATAAGCAAAATGATTTGACTAGCACACAAGGACTGAAAGAAGGGCAAACTTTTTCATGACCCATTGCGGCTTGAAATCAAATTATATGTAGTTACCATTATGTCACCAAGTTTGCAAGAGTATCGCCTAGGGGGAAATGCCTTAATATGCATGGCCTATGGTTCAACAGCAGCTGAAAAGCGAGTCGTTGCTCCATTTTCAGCATACTTGCCTCCACTTGTGAGCCGAGTGCCCGTCAACCTTTCAAGCCGGCTCAAAAGTCGAACCGACAAGTTGTCAAACAGCGAAAAGTTTCTGCTCTAAAATGTACATAATTCGATGTCAAAATAGCCAAATTGATGCCTGCTCAACAACAACAATTCTATTTTAAAGGGCCAATTCACTGGCGCAGTTCAGCTGTCGAGTTGTGGATGTGTTTATTGGAAAATGTCCAATGGCACAGACGTACAGTCGCATTGACTGCCACTGTTCCCATCATCAAATATTTAAGGCATTCGGCAGTAGTCGAAACAGAAACAGAAACCAGAACCTGACCAAACAATGTGAACTGTTACACTTCCCTAACCCAGTCGTGTTTGTGCATGTGTAAATTAACAACTTTATTGTTGTGACCCAAAGTCAGCTACGGGTCAGCAGCCCAACAACCCAACAGCCCCACAGACTACCCAGAAAAATGTCAGTCTAGGCATTGTGGCCCATTCACAGACTGTTTATGTTTAGCATCGATTGTAGGCCTCCTGTCCACCAGAGCTCCCTGCACCTCCTATTAACCATTTCCTGGTTTATTGGTTAGTTTCTATCCTGTTGTTGTGTTCTGTGTGTTTTGTTTATTCAAACAAGCCCAAAGTTCGGCCGCTTTGCGGTCGCCCGTTGAATCCTTAAAATGCCTCAATATTTTCAACATTGTACAAGCCGAGCCCAATGACAACAACAGGGGACACACACAAGC